GGGTTTGGGTTTTTTTTTCGATTTTTTTGTATGGGGTGGGGTGGGGTGTGTTACGGTGACGGTGGTGGGTGTGGTTGGGGTTGGGTCTGGTTTTTTTTTTTTTTTTTTTTTTTTTTTTTTTTACAGTGACGGTGGTGGGTGGGGTGGGGTTTGTTAAGGGGGTGGGGTGGAGTACGTTACGGTGATGGTGGTAGGTGGGGTGGGGTATGGGTCTGGGTTTTTATTATTTACGGTGACGGTGGTGGATGGGGTGGGGTAAGGTTTGGGTCTGGGTTTTTTTATTTACGGTGGGTGGTGGGGTGGGGTGGGGTGGGTTACGGGTAATTATGGTGGGTGCGGGGGTGGTGTTAGGGTGGGTCTGGGTTGACGTTGGTGGGGTGGGGGTGGGTTACGGTAACGGTGGTGGGGTGGGGTGGGGGTGGGTTACGGTAACGGTGGTGGGTGGGGGGTAGTGTTAGGGTGGGTCTGGGGTGACGGCGGGGGTGGTGTTAGGGTGGGTTACGGTGGTGGGTGGGTGGAGGGTGGTTGGACTGGGTGGGTGGCCAAATTTTTTTCATTTTTTTTATTTAATTTATAACTCCTAATTTAGTTATACAAGAATATAATTTTAATTTTATAATAGCAAAAAAATTTACAAATTTAAATCAATAATTATATGTAAAAAAAATTGTACTGTTAAATTACATTAAACATCAAATATATTTCGTGGAATCTAACAAAATGTTAAAGGCTGTAAATAGTTCAATTTGAATGGAACGGGTTGTAAACGGTTCGGTTTAAATAGTTTGTAATCGGATCGATTTAAACGGGTTGCGGTTTGAAAATAGTTCGGTTTTAAACGGTTTAATGGGTTATAACAGTTCGGTTTAAACGGTTAGCGAGTTGTAAATTGTTCTATTTAAACGGTTTTTTCCTACGGTTTAAACGGTTTCGGTTTATAAACGGTTCGGTTTAATTAGTTAGCGGGTTAACATTAATAGGTTCAAACGGTTTCGGTTTATAAACGGTTTGGTTTGTTATTGGTTTACGGTTCGTAACGGGTTAACATTAATTGGTTCGGTTCGGTTTCGGTTTGACATTATACGGTTCAGTTCGGTTTTCGGTTTAAAATTAGCGGGTTATAAACGGTTCGGTCCGTGATGGTTCGGTTCGGTAACGGACGGTTTTACGGTTCGGTTTGAAAAGTCCCACCCCTAGATGTGCACATATTGTTGGAATTCCACTAATTTTTTTTTACTGTTACTAAAATAATTATACAGTATATGCTTGATGTTTATGTGTTTATATTGAATTGCAGAGGTTTAATAGTACAATGAGGGCAGTCCAAGGAGCTCTAATTGTGGCGTCAAGTCTGCAAATAATCCTCGGATATAGCCAATTATGGGCTATTTGTTCAAGGTTAATTTTTTCTTTTATCTGTTAGTAAGTATACTCTATACTGTTAGCACCCATAAGACCATGAGGCCCCGGCAATTGAAGCAATGTGACATAGGGGGTCGAGTAGTGATAAATCAATCTCCAAGATTACTGTAAGCCTAATGCCCTAATCTAGCCTGTTCACGCGGTTGCACACTTGCACCCATAGGCCCCGGGCATTGAAATAATGTGACATAGGGGCCGATTCAATCTCCAAGATTTGTCCTATCTCAATAGCATGTTTGTAGAAAATGTCTAACACGAAATACTACCTAGATACTTCGTATTATTTCCTCTATCTCTTTCCTTTTTCAATTACCTGCTTAGCTCGCTCTTTTTAACAGTGCACACTGACCGTGAACAACTTTAGTATCCAAGAGCCATTGTGGGTTCTTTGGAGTTTGGACTTATGAAGTCGACTCGATATCTAAGAGTGAACAAGAGCTATTGTCCTATTAATAATATGTGAACTTAAATGTGAAATGGAAGAAATAAATTAAAATGTAATGTTGTAATTAACAAAGATTAATTTATGGTATGACAGGTTTTTTAGCCCATTGGGAATGGTTCCAGTTATATCACTGGTGGGTTTTGGTCTGCTTGATAGGGGATTTCCTGTGGTAAGTACAATAAGTCTTTAATCATGGTTTAATTTTTAAATGAACCTTCATTTCGAGATTAGTTACTGGTCTGCTTTGGAACTAAATGTTTCATTTATATTCCAATTTACTCTTCTTGTTCAACTTAAAATAAAAAGGCGCATTTTTCTAAAATTTTAATATGGTTGTATAATTTTCAGGTGGGACGATGCGTTGAAATTGGCATTCCCATGCTTATTTTGTTTGTTGTCTTCTCTCAGGTATTTTGTCAATATTATTGCAACCTTGATATGATTAGGAGGATAGTACTATCTTTTTGTTCAAAGTTTGAATTTATATAGTTATTGTATAGTCTTTACTCTTTAGTGGACATAATTGGGGCTAATTGGATATTAGTGGATTCCACTAACACAACAAGATAAGCTTGATATGATACACAAATAGTTAAACCAGTGAAAGTATTTGAAAGCATGCAAAATCTATACTGTTTAGCAATGAGTAACTTGTTTAGATCGAAAGCTGGGACATTATCATGGTCTTTAAAGTTCTTCCTATTTGGACGGTGATTGTCCGACAAAAAGATTCAAAATAGGGAAAACTTTTAGCAATGGAGGGAATTAGAAGGTAGAACTAATTTCTTTTCCTTTGTGCAGTATCTGAAGCATTTTCAGGTAAGGAAGCTGCCAATGCTGGAGCGCTTTGCTCTTGTTCTATCAGTTACTGTTATATGGGCATATGCACACCTGTTGACCGCTAGTGGTGCTTACAAACACCGCCCTGCTAAAACTCAAATGAACTGCCGAACTGATAAGGCTAACCTCATCTCTACTGCACCATGGTAAGCTAATGACAAGAATCTATCTCAGTGATGGGAACTCCTTACTGTTGTAATGTTACTGATGATAAGTGGACTACAGTTTTTGAAAATATTGTTGCCATAGCCCAGACTTTTGGGAAAATTCTCATTTATCCCTTGATTTTTGCTTGTGTAGGATAAAGATCCCATATCCTTTACAATGGGGTGCACCTTCTTTTGATCCCGGTCATGCATTTGGAATGATGGCTGCTGTACTAGTCTCGCTCATTGAGGTAGCATACAAAGTCACTACAAAGTTAAGCATTAGTTATAATCCTTCCTGTTTATGACTTGGACATGATTATAACGTGTGTAATTTATTCTGTTATAGTCAACTGGAGCTTTTAAAGCAGCAGCTCGTCTAGCAAGTGCCACTCCCCCACCAGCTCATGTTCTGAGCCGCGGTATAGGCTGGCAGGTTATATATTATGTCTTCCTACAGAGTTGGAGGATGCCCTTTTTCTTCATTCTTTTCGTGTGGGTGTGTGTGTTTTTACTGATAGATCGTATCGTTCACAGGGTATTGGGATCTTACTCAGTGGACTCTTTGGAACATTAAGTGGTTCTGCTGTCTCTATGTGAGTTACTACATGCATATCCTTGGTTTTCAGCTAATGCAAGCTTGCTAGCTATAACTGAACATTAATATAAAATTTGTCGGATATAGAGAAAATGTAGGCCTGATTGGAAGCACTCATGTAGGAAGTCGTAGAGTTATACAGATTTCTGCTGGCTTCATGATCTTTTTCTCAATCTTAGGTAAGGCCTAAACTACCTTCTTATGTCTCCTATAAAAGACATCATATGTCCGCCAATAGATTCTCAGTTTTTCTGATTGATACCTGCAGGAAAATTTGGGGCTCTTTTTGCTTCAATACCTTTCACTATATTTGCTGCAATGTACTGTGTTTTCTTTGGCCTTGTTGGTAAGTCACACAATCATTTTGGATTTGTGTAGGGAAGTAGACAACAGAGATTCATAAACTAATTTGCTTGGGTTTGTTGTTGGTTGATGGTTTTACAGGTTCTGTCGGGCTATCATTCTTGCAGTTCACAAATATGAACTCTATGAGAAATCTCTTCATTGTAGGTGTATCTATGTTTCTTGGTCTGTCTATTCCTAATTATTTTAGAGAATACTCGGCCAGCGCTCTACATGGACCTTCTCACACCAGGGCTGGATGGGTAAGAACATTACTCCTACTTAAACCTCTACATCTTGCTTAATTTCTTCTCCAGTGAAAAATAACTCTAGTTTTGGTGGTCGTTATTGCAGTTCAATGATTTCCTCAATACTATCTTCTCCTCTTCACCGGCAGTGGCGCTGATTATCTCAGTTCTCCTAGACAACACCCTTGAATACAAGGATAGTGCTAAAGACAGAGGAATGCCATGGTGGGTCAAATTCAGGACATTCAAAGGAGACAGTCGAAACGAGGAGTTCTACACCCTTCCCTTTAACCTCAACCGTTTTTTTCCCTCCATCTTAAGCGTGGTTGAGCCTTAAAGAGAGGGGACAGAGTAGTTTTAAAACCCTTAAACCAGTTTTCCTCTCCATCATGAACCCCTTAGAAGTAGTTTAGTACCATTGATAGCATTGTGATTATCATCACAATGATGATGATGGAGAAATGTTATTATCAGAGTAAATCAAGTTTTGCTCTTTGGCCCCTTTCGGCCTTCCCCGGCAATTGATTATTTATTTGTTCAATTATAGAAATTATTTGTTCAACAATGATGATGATGGAGAAATGTTATTATCATAGAGTAAATATCTCAACTCGGTATTTCGGGTTCAATTCAATAATAGAAATTATTTATTTGTTCTTTTTAACCAAAGTCCACACTTCAGCAGTATCATCTGACATTTCTGACTACTGATGACAAACAGCATTGATATCTCTTGTGGTTTAAGACAAACAGCAGTGACATACTATACATAGTCAATGACTGAAGTATCATTTTCACACCAAGAAGTAACTCTTGAAGTTATGTCTAGACGAGAATAAGGAGGCTTACCTTGAACTTTATATTCATTTGCCCAAAAAAATTAAGTGTATTTACATCAATGATCTAGTATAAAATGTTGGGGGGAAATAAAAATCAAAACTGCCCCCTTCTGGGGCTCTGAGTCTCTGACCACCCGAAAACAAAAGGAAAGTGTGAAAGAGAGATTTTGCTTATCTTGGCTTTTTCATCAGGTTGAATGGCTGATATATTTACAGCAAAAATCAGGTGAAAGTCTAGCGAGCTTTGCACATGCATTCGGGGCTCCTAGGTTGCCGATATATGCTTTGTCCAAATCGTCTCACATGAACCCTTTGACCTTCTTCAATCATTTTTGTTACCCTATACTGAAAACTGTTCCATGCTATGGTGTCATTTTCCAACAATATTGCTGATAGCCTCTTCTTGTTTGGTCGCAAGGTAGGAGCATGACCGCCTCCAAAATAAGTGCGAAACCCAGATACCAATGAAGATAGTTGGCTTCCCGAGTCGGTCATGGCAAAAACATCAGCTGTTGCACATGCAATGAAGTCCAGTGCAGCAAGCTGCGGGAGATGATTAGAAAACATGAGAATACATTAGAATCATATCGATCAGGCTATATGTAAGCCTATAAGCCAAAATGTGTGATTAATAATCGAAATGGTGTTCACTAAACCCTTTTTCTAAAAGAATTAGCATATTATACATTAGAATCATATCGATCAGGCTATATGTAAGCCTATAGGCCAAAATGTGTGATTAATAATCGAAATGGTGTTCACTAAACCCTTTTTCTAAAAGAATTAGCATATTACACATACCCACATATATATAAGAGACATGTCCCAATACAAATTTTAGCAAAACAAGTCTCATCTTCGATGCCCCTAGCGTAAATAACAAAGTTATCAGTGCCATCTATGAATTATATGCATGAACATGGCAGTGCATCTATACCTCATACTTCAATACACCATAACCACTGTTCTGCTATGAGTAAAAAAAACTCCTTGCAGATGAAAATATTATCATTGGAACCGGGGAAAATGAAAAAACAACTATGGATTTTTGTTGCTATTAAACCATATTCTTCACTCTGGTATGCTCATATTAATGTAAGCTGGCTTAGTTTGTGGTGCTCATTTATAACTATTTCAGCTAATTTGGCACAAAGAATCAGTTGGTGCCAATGGGATTGAGAAAACAGAACTAGCTTTTGGCGGATGAGGGTTTATAAAAGAAAAAGTGTTTTGTTTTGGTGCATTGTGTGTGGGATATTAGAAATGGGAATGAAACTGAACGATGTGAGTGCCATATAGATTCAGTATGTAATTAGTTAATGATAAAGTATTGGGAATTCAAGCACAAAAAATAATTACTCCAGTATATCAAACAAAGCCGTGTCTATAAAAACATATAATGATATATAGAACTAAAGTAAGCCTCAGATGAGTATCAACAAAACTCAGCATTGACTTTGAGCACAATAGGTATATGTTAGAACTTCCATTGTGAAGCTACATGATTACTTTGCCAATTTTCCAGTCATACACTTCTATCATTCCATAATTACTTGGAAATCCATTATCAGAACAGGAGCTTCTTTTTTTTTTTTTTTTTTTTTTAAGGAAATCAGAACAGGAGCTTTGCAGATGCCTTTGAGTAATATATTTTAATAATTATTACTTGGAAATCCATTATCAGACCTGTGCAAGACTAGTTGAAGCCAAGTTCAGAAGACAGCCATACATCAAAGGAGAACTTTCTTCCTTGCTAGAATTACCTCGTACATCCTTCCATGAACATATGCAAAATCAATAAGATTATTGGCATCCTTCTAGTATGTCCCTATGCATTACAAGGAAATTTTCACATACACCTAATGCAAAAAACTACTACGTAATTGACAACATGAGTGCCAAGGGGACAAATACATTGAAGTATGAAGTTAAAAAACCAAATAAATGAAGAAAATAATTAATTCCAACAGTAAAATGATTATCCTAAAGACCTAAACCCTGGTTTCTGGAGAGAACCACCAGAAAAACAAAGACAAAAGTAAGAAGGTTCACACACTGTAGTATATGATTGTAAATAGTAGTGAAGGCCATCTGGTGCTATCGCAGTAGGAAAGCACCATAGACAAGATCTAATTTATAAGGCTAGTCCATTTCTCTTTGGAATATTTAATAGAAATTAGGAACTTGACTAGTGAGATCGACAGAGATCATTGAGCCTCAGACACAGATTAGTTCAGGAAGTATCAACATCTAAAACCATCATCTGATTGATATAGTAATTATTGATGCCTCAAAGTCAGCAGCTATCGGCTCAACTATTACAAGTGATCAATCGTCAATAACCTAATGTGGGAATTTATAGGGTCAAAAGACAGCACAAAACAAATGTAACAACTGATTAGCACAAAACAGCATTGTAAGCTATCTTTTGATTAAAAGTAGCTAGAGTAGTTACCGCTACCAAGAAAGACCAAGTAAGGGTTCTATTCACAGCAAAAAAAACACCCAGATCAAAATAGTTCATCGAGCTTACCACAAGCTGAGAAGATCACCTACTGCTGAAAAATCAGCTCCAGTATATCTATTTAATTCAAAAATACTTATAGCTTCCCTATACAATGAATCGGAAACCACTGTGTAAAGTACCATTGTGGAAACATTAACAAAAGAGAATCATTGGCACTGATGAACCATGCTCTAGACTCTAGTACATCCTTCCTAATACTTGCTAACTTGCGGAAAAAAAAGCTAGACACCAACCCACACCAAGGTTACTACACTCAACCTTTGTAGTATAGAAGACAACTAGTTGTTTCGTGAAAATATTCTTGGAGGATCTTGCAGATGATTTACAGGGAGAAGCATAAAACCGCCATAGATTACCTCTAAGGTACATATTCCATCCTCCTATTAGTAGGCTTCTACTTAGTAATCTGGTCTATTTTCTAGCTAACTTATGAAAAGAAGTTTATCCATGCCTCCTAACTAATAAGTTCTATTCCTCTCAGAAATTAATGTTGTAATTTCTATATAAAAAAAAAAAAAAAAAAAAAAAAAAAAAAAAAAAAAAAAAAATCCCAACTAGGAGTGTGGAGCATATAAACAAAGTCAGAACTGTGGAATGGAAGATTAAGGCCCAAATTTCAATTCCGAATTTCCGATAAATATGTTACTAATTTCTCAAGGACTATCCAGCATGAAAATATATATCTATCGATTGATGATATAAATAACGAAGTTTGGTACCTTTGACGTGTTCATTTCTAAGACAGAACTTTTACGGAAATTCGCAGAATTGAAGTCCACAAACATAAGGGAATCCAACCAAAAGAACAAACCCATCAGCCCAATAGCAAAACCAAACAACCTTAATTGCCTGTGAAACCAATTATGCCTTTTCCCGCCATATACTCCTTTACAAATTGATTGCTTTGCTGCCATACTATTATTACCATATATACCACCAAAGAGAAAATTCTTGCACCAATGATAATCTGATCCTACCACCCTTCTACCTGAAAAATGATCATTATTGGCCGGACCCTCGGAACACCTCGCTGGACACTCTCTCATCCCAAACAAAAAATCAACATTAGCCGGATGAGGATGAGGACTCCTAGGTGATCCAAGATTCCCCATTACACTTACAATTTCTTTCTAAAAAAATCCAACAATCTACTAGTAAAATTCGCGTTCGTTCTTCCCCGAGAAATATTAATGGCACAACAAAATTCCCCCCTTTTCACAAGTGGGTATTTCTATTTTCACACGCCTACAAACTTCATATACCAATTCAACAAAAAAGACTTTTCACTTAAATTTTTATTTACAACTTTTAATATAAAGAAAGTGTCAAATTAGCTGAAACAATAACATCAAACTGACCTAAGCGAAAAATTCATAGTGAAGCTACTAATACTCATTAGGTAGATAGACAACGATATGTGAGTGAAATTCAAGCAACAAATCGTGAAATAATTAAATAAAACCTAATTGATTCGATTGCGATAACATGAATTCATAAATTAATTAAGAATTGCGACTCACCAAATTCCAAATGTAGGTGGTTAGTTGGGTGGCTTTGACCGTCCAAATTGATAGTAATCGGGAAGACGAAGGCGACGAAAGAGAGTAAAATAGAAGAAGCAAACCCTAAATTCCGTCATTTTCCCCCAAATTGATTTGAGATGAGAAAATTAGGGTTAGAAATTGAACTGAAATCAAAGGAAAAAGATGAAGAAGAAATTAAGAGAGATTTTTTTAAAAATAAATTTAAATTGTTTTTTAATTGGAGCGTACCAAAAAAATTGGAGCAGTTGGCGGGAACAAAGAACAACGGCAACAACTTTTTTTTGATATGGTTGTTTGTGTTAATTCTTGAACTCCAAACTTGCATTTTTTTTATTTTTTTAATTTTTTTTTTAAAATTGATTTCTGATTTTTCTAAAAAATGTTTAGCAATGGTTTTTTGAAAATTAAAAAACAAAAAAAAATGTGTTGTAAAAGGTTGACGATTTTTAAGGTAATTGTCTATTTTTACACCTTTCTAAAAAGAGAACAATTAGTTTGATTGTGAAGTGGAAAGATTATAAAATTTTGACAAAGTATGAAATATATGTGCTACAAGTGATACTATAGGGTGTACTTTAAAAAAAAAAAATTACTTGTAAAATTTATATTCTTTTAGTATAGTTAGGCCCTATTCGGTTCAACTTTAAGAAAATATTTAGTAAATATAATTTCAGTTCAGTTCAGTCCAGTTAAAATAATTTCAGTTCAATAAAATCAGTAACCCTAAAAAATAATTATAATAGAGAACCAATAAAAATAATTTTAGTTCAGTAAAATTAATTTCAATAGATCAATAAAAATAATTTTAGTACAGCAAAAATAATTTCAGTTAGTTGAATAATTTAGTTCAGCAAAATTAAGGTAAAGTGAACAGGGCCTTAGGATACATCTGTTTTTATATATATATATATTTTTTAAAGGTATAAAAAATAAACATTATGAAGCCCTCTTTACAAGAGGAATCCCTAATGGGTAAATACAAGTTTATAACAGAGATAAACCATTCACGGGGGCACTTATGTAATTAGCATTTAACTTTGACTTAACTGTCGTTTCCTGTTCTCTCTCCCCTTGGTTTTCTCTTTCTTGCTTCAACCTTGAGTTCAATGGCATAAATAATGACTTTTCAGTCTTCACAATCAAACAAGTGAAATCAATGGAGGAAGGAAAGCTTACCTACCCTTTAGGCCGGGTTAACCATGCCCTTTATTTCTCCCTTCGTTATTAGGACTTTCATTTTAATTCCAACGGCTTCAAAGGTGGGAAGAAGTAGATGTACAAGAAGGAAGAAGAAGATGAATAGGAAGAAGAAGATAGAAGGAGGAAGATGATGAATTTTGCAAACAGTAGCAAAACGTCCGTCATCTCATCAGTCACTGCCATATGACAAATGAAGTACATAATATATTTTTTAATGGGCTAGCGCGGAAACCAATGAATTTGTAGTACAATAATTGCGTGAGATAAACAGCCTAGGTTTTATCACTGTTATAAACCTGGGCTCTCTCATTCCTAATATATTTGTTAGTTAGGATATCTAATTGTAAAGAAAAAAAGATAATATGGAAATCAATATTCAAGCTTTATTTTACAATTTCTTACTTGTATTAAATTAAGCAAGCAAGTTACATTCTTTTCCATGTAAAAAGAAGTGTCTTTTGATCCAAACCGTACATGATTCAACCACTCAAATAATGCGGCTTAGTAAGCATGGCACCTTGAAGGTTGAAAGTAGAATGTAGAGGAAGAGTAAGGGAATAATAATGTGGAGGGAAAATTACCGAAATCTTCACTCTAAAGTGGGTAAGAATAAGGCAAACAAGCTAAGGTAGTTAATTTGTTTTAGCTGTTGTGTGCTTCTTTTATACTTTCTTTGGAGGAGGCCCCCATTTATCTCCTTTTGTTTATCAGATTGCAATTTTGTAAATAATTGCATAAGGAAATGGGACAGATCACTTGGAAACTGCTAAATTGCTTACACGTGGATAAAGTAAACAAAGGTGTCTGAAAAAATTGTGAAATGTTATTTTTAATGTCTGTTAAGCTTATTTTGACCGGACGATGGTCTATTTTAACCATAGTTAGTTGCAAGGCTACAAGTGACCACCTTCTTTTATCATTTTTTTGAATGTTTACTCCAAGAATCAGAGAGAGGTGATGAAAATGAGCAAAAAAACCGAATTACCAGAACCAAGGTAAACCCAATCGTCGTCCCAGTAGCCGCCACCTGTGTCGTTGAAGTCACCGGTCGCAATTGGCCCAAATCGTCGCCGCCGCCTAAGTTAGTCGCCACCGCCCCAAATCCCGGTCGCTTGCGTCGTTATGGTTAATCAGTAGCCATCATTGTCGCCAAATAGCCGCCGTGGTTTTTACTTGATTGCTGAAGTATCACTGGGTTGGTGAAGTTTCATGTTTTCTAAGGGTTTCTCTTTCTCCTCTCTAACTGGCCTTCTCTCTCCTATCTAACCACCTTTGGTTCACCTTGGGTTATCTATGGTTAACAGAAGTAAACGGCTGTCAACTTTAGTAATGGGACATTTATGTGAATACCCTTACTAACTGCAGCAAAGTTACCAAAAAAACCCCCCGATAAACAGCTGAAGTTTATCGTGGAAATAAATTAGAATTTCCTCCTTTCTTTGTTTCTCTAAGATTGCCACAATTATTAATTTTAAGGAAATTTCACAAATATTCTAGTATCTCTAGGGGTGAAAGTTCGATATTCGGATTGGATTATGGCCCAAACCGAAATAATTCGGTTTTAGAATTTTCAATCCAAATCCAAACCGAATTGGAAATTGGTCCAATCCAAACCGATTTTCCAATAATCAAACATAATCCAATCCGAAAACCGAATTTTTTTAGCCTATCTAATTTTTAGGTTAGTGATATTAACACAAATAAACAAGAAAATTATAAGATTTTAAAGACACATTAACAAGAACCATAACTTGACAAAATATTAACATTAGTTTTTATAGCATCAACTATATATTATAAGGATTAAATTTGTCCACCAATACTTTTGACATACAAATTACATAAAAACACTCAGATCTTGTTGGCTCGTTTGTTACTTGCTTCTTTACATACACCTCTAGCTCCTCAGAAAGAACCCTAAGAAACGCGGCCGCGATATGTAGTAAGAAAAAGGATGGACCTAATAAAGAATTGAGTCATTTGTTGGAGTTCGAAGCTCTGAGAGAGTAACAAGAGGCCAGTGCAAGAGAAATTAACTCAAAATTTGTTTGATAGAGGAGAGAAAATGAGAGGAGATAATCTCTTGCATGATATCAGAAAGGAGAAAAAGTAAGAGTGGAAAGAGAAGCTCAAAAGCTGCACTTGAGAGGAAAGAGAAACACAATGTGGGGCTTAGGGTTTTTTATTTTTAGTTTATATACTCTGTATGAATTGAAAGCCCATGTTAATAGTGTTTGTGCAGCTTCAGCAATGGACTTAAGTATTTTGGGCCCAAATTCGGTTTCTTATTCGGTTTTCGGTTTTTTAAAACATAAAACTGAATCCAAACAACTGATCCAAGTTAAAAAAAAAAAAATCCAAACCGAATTGTTAATTCGGTTTGGTACGGTACAGTTTGGTTTCAGTTTTAATCCATATTACTTTCACCCCTAAGTATCTCTGTTTTTGAAAAAACATTGCTTATGAAGTTCTAACTCTACTCTCATGGGTGTATCTTTTCGCTTCAATTATTATTGTAGTTAACACGTGACCAATTTGTCCACTTTTGTTTCTCTCTCTTCACTATTCCCCTTCCTTAATTTACATGCCCAACCAACGAATCTCCTTGTTGCAATATTAGGAGAATGGATGAAGGTTTATTAATCGAGATAAAGACAGGTACCTTTACATACATTAATTATTTCAGGAAATATAAAAAAGGAGATTATTATATGATGGAAATTTTTTTGAGCAATATAAGATAATAATAAGAAAAAACAGGTCTAAATCAAAAGCTAACATCATTATTTAGTGCAATGGTTGACTATTGTGACCAAGTCAAAGTATTATCGATGACTTCCGTGTAGACGTATGTAGGTTAAGTACTTTTAGCTGAAAGTTGAGACAACAAGGCGTATATTATTATCATTAATGGGTTGGGAACTGTAAAGGCATTGCAAAACACAAAGTATGTTTTCTACTACCAAAGATTATTTCCTTCGCTAATAAATCTGGAGATTCTTCCCTGCGATGCTAAACCATGATAACATTAGTATGAAGATTAATTATAAATTTTAACTATTAGCAAGGTGGAGCCCTCTTGTAGAATTTTCTCTAAAATATTGACTCACAAATTATCTCGAAATTATTGTTCTTTTTGTAATACTTGTGGAATTCAAAAAAAAAAAAAAAAAAAAAAAAAATCTCTATCATATCGAATTACAATCTGCCAAGAAAATGGATTACACAAGGGGAAAATAATTTTGACTCGCTTTAAAATTAGTCTTTCCATTGATTAAATTTCATTTAAGGCAGAAAAATTAAATGTATACGTTCCATTTTAGGCATATCTTTGGTAGACAAGTGTACCACAATATGTTTGGTCAAGTGCCATACAAAGAGTCTAAGATGATGAGAACCTCCTCAATTACAATATGACATTTTCTTGTGAAACTACCTATCATAGTGGATAGGTGTTGGAGAAATCAAGCTAGAGGTACAACTGTATACATCCATTTTTATTGGTTTGATTTATTTGGCTTAATCAAGTTGTATATTGATTAGTTTTTTCAACACCTTGCTATGATGTTTAATAAATTAGACCTTGAGACTTGATTTAATTTGATGTTCTTTATGATTTTGAATCCAAGTATTAATTCCAATTTTGTTTCCCTGATAGTTATTGGCAAAGACCTTCTATCTATAACGTACTTCTCTATTTTTCATTACTAATAAAAACCAAGGTCTCACATCTCTTTCATTAATGAAATAATTACTATGTTAT